GTTTGATCGATCTGCAACAGAAATGCAAATTAACACATATTTGCAAAAAGAAAAGTGAAATATGTTCTGCAATAATATTGGCATGTTATACAATTCATCCTCATAAATAAGATGGTAAACAGAACGAAATAATGTACAAAACTGATATTCTCGCCAATGTGTCCGTCTGGCGGAGCAGATATAGCTAGATAGTCAGTCAGATAGATAGATAATTAGGGAGAGATAGATAGATAAATAGATAGATGTATTATTTGTCCACTGGGGAAAGTTGTTTTCATAGTAAAAATGTCTTTATCAGCTACGGAATCATGGTATTCATGCAGGTATTTCATGCATATGCCTTTAGTTTGTTTTATTTTTGATAAAATAACGTATGACGTATGTCTCAACCATTCAGAAAGCTGCAAGAAATTACATTTGCGCTGAACTATTTCCCATTTCCAAGTAGATTATAACCGACATCTGTAGCTTGTCATTTCTTTTTTATTTCGGCCACAGTCCGAGGTTGTGAGGCTACAGCATTTACGGCGTCTGCAACCTTTTGCCACTCAAGTGCCTTTTTGGCATTAGTAGGCTAATGCCCACACTGTGCCCTCCAAACAAAATTTGTTCTCCTCTTTTCCACCTCGCCAACGATAACTTCTACTTCACATTGAATGAAGTTAAGTTTTTTTGATTTCCTCTCTATGTTTGCCACGATTTCGCAATCGTTGAATATTAACTTGTGGGCGTTTCACGGACTATTTATGGGCAACTATGGGCGTGACATGAAGCCGCAAAAGCTGCGTTACATTTAGAATTGATTGTGATTTATTAAGGGAAAAATACGTAGGATGTGCGTGCGCACGGTTTTATAAATCCGAATATTTCTATGCGTACGCACGTCCTATGTTTCATCCGTACGCCACTTCTGACGCAAATCCTACGCAAAGTTTTATAAATGAGGCCCCTGGACATTACACCTCTGGTTGCCAGGGTGTTGCTATGTAGTTGCTAAGGTGTTTCACTCACAAAAAGTGAGTGACAAGTTCGGCATTAACATTTAAAAGTTGTTTAATAATTGTAGTATTGAAGTATATTTGTATTATATTATATTATATTATAAGTAGTATGTAGTAAAGAAGTATTTTTGCCTCACCAAGGCTTATTATTTGATAAATGCAGTAATATGGTAATATTGTGAAATATTAAAGTACCTGTTTTCTATCTTAATATATTTTAAAATCCAATTTATTCCTGTGATGGCTGCATTTTCAGCATCATTTCTCCAGTCTTCAGTGTCACATGATCCTTCAGAAATCATTGTAATATGGAGATTTGCTGGTTGCAATCATATACATTTTATTTAAATTTAAATACTTAATCCATATTTGCTCAGTAGAAGTAATAATAAAAAATAAAAAAACGGACCCCAAACTTTTGAACGGTAGTGTACATGAATTGTAATCAAAGCAAAAAGTGTGATATTTCAAGCTAATTTCTCAGTTATTTTAGTGCGGTATCTGTATTAACTGAATTTCTTGATCTGTGTTGCTGCTTTTTGATATCAGTTATATTGAAGAAATTATTTGAAGTCTTATGCATGTGTATAAATGCACTTCTCCAAATTGGAGTTTCAGAGCAGTGAACAATAGTTTTATTTATATATATATAAAATGTGATGCGTTTATGACTCAATCTTTATGTGGTTTCAGTCATCAGATTGACACATTGTGACCCACGTATATAGGCTACCTTTATTTAGCACTGATTTTCTTAATACCACGTGTAAACAAGGTCATAGTGATACTTGCCTTTGCAAACATCTAAATGCTGAGAAGGATCATTAGTATAGACGGCTGAATCAATAGAGCTATTATAATGAACACACTTAAGTATAATACTTGTGGTTTGAATGTATCATCTGATAACTTAAAGCACAGATGAATGGCTTCTCTTGTCTCGAGGCTGTCTAGCAACAGGCCTGCAGTTTAACTACACAAACCTTCAGCATCTCATCTGTCTCGCAAGACGTAACATGCCCTCAGGAACTGTCAACTGGGAAATGTCAGAGAAGTGTCCGCTTTCAGCGGCGAGGAGATAGAACTGCTGATACTACCTGCTTATCTGTGTTTTTTGAAAAAGGCGCACACGTGTGCGTGAGTGGGTTTTGAGCTATTCAACATGTCAGATCCTGCCGAGTGGTCTTAGGTTTTGCCTGTGGCTTTGAATATCGTCACTGTGAACATGTGGTGATGTGTGTCTGTGCATGTCAGCACCCGACTCCTCTCTGGATGGGTGAACACAATGAAGAGAACTAGACTCCCATCTCTTCACTTGAGCACACTGGCAGAATGCCTCCTTTGTGTGTAACTACACAGTCTCTAGGGGCACTGTAACATAGGGTAGGGACTAGGGAGTAGATACACCCTGTTCACTTAGAAATGACTTCAGGTAGACAGAGCAGATCAACAGATACAAATCAGTGAAGGATCTAAATGCAGGTTTTAGATGTAATAATACTTTTTGTCTATCCCAGTTTAATGGACTTAAAAATAAAATAATCAATTCATTTGAAATTAATATGTCATCTCATCTTTAAAAAAAAAAAATATTGTAAAAAGGTTAATGAATAGGTAAATAGGAATAGAAAAAAAAATTGTCAATTTGAAAAGTGATAATAATATACACTCACCGGCCACTTTATTAGGTACCCCATGCTAGTAACGGGTTGGACCCCCTTTTGCCTTCAGAACTGCCTCAATTCTTCGTGGCATAGATTCAACAAGGTGCTGGAAGCATTCCTCAGGGAGTTTGGTCCATATTGACATGATGGCATCACACAGTTGCCGCAGATTTGTCGGCTGCACATCCATGATGCGAATCTCCCGTTCCACCACATCCCAAAGATGCTCTATTGGGTTGAGATCTGGTGACTGTGGAGGCCATTTTAGTACAGTGAACTCATTGTCATGTTCAAGAAACCAATTTGAAATGATTAGAGCTTTGTGACATGGTGGAAGTAGCCATCAGAGGATGGGTACATGGTGGCCATAAAGGGATGGACATGGTCAGAAACAATGCTCAGGTAGGCCGTGGCATTTAAAAGATGCCCAATTGGCACTAAGGGGCCTAAAGTGTGCCAGGAAAACATCCCCCACACCATTACACCACCACCACCAGCCTGCACAGTGGTAACAAGGCATGATGGTTCCATGTTCTCATTCTGTTTACGCCAAATTCTGACTCTAACATCTGAATGTCTCAACAGAAATCGAGACTCATCAGACCAGGCAACATTTTTCCAGTCTTTAACTGTTCAATTTTGGTGAGCTCTTGCAAATTGTAGCCTCTTTTTCCTATTTGTAGTGGAGATGAGTGGTACCCGGTGGAGTCTTCTGCTGTTGTAGCCCATCCGCCTCAAGGTTGTGCGTGTTGTGGCTTCACAAATGCTTTGCTGCATACCTCGGTTGTAACGAGTGGTTATTTCAGTCACTGTTGCCCTTCTATCAGCTCGAACCAGTCTGGCCATTCTCCTCTGACCTCTGGCATCAACAAGGCATTTCCGCCCACAGAACTGCCGCTCACTGGATGTTTTTTCTTTTTCGGACCATTCTCTGTAAACCCTAGAGATGGTTGTGCGTGAAAATCCCAGTAGATTAGCAGTTTCTGAAATACTCAGACCAGCCCTTCTGGCACCAACAATCATGCCACGTTCAAAGTCACTCAAATCACCTTTCTTCCCCATACTGATGCTCGGTTTGAACTGCAGGAGATTGTCTTGACCATGTCTACATGCCTAAATGCACTGAGTTGCCGCCATGTGATTGGCTGCTTAGAAATTAAGTGTTAACGAGCAGTTGGACAGGTGTACCTAATAAAGTGGCCGGTGAGTGTATAATGTTAATAAAAATAATAAGTTATTCCTATATGAGACAACTAAGCTAGGTTCTCCCCAAAACTCTCATCTTCATAACCGACCCAATAAAGCTACTTGGCTCAATCAACAACGTGAATTTTTTTAATGGAAAATAGATCGCCGGGACTAAGCCAATGTATTTTCGACCAGTGGCAGACTGGGAAGGGCTATTAGTGCCCAAAAAAAAAAAAAAAACTTTCGTTTTGTTTAGAGAGCTATGAGATTAAAAGGCAAATGCTTTTCAGATTTTTATCCTGTGGAAAAACTGAATTCACATGTTTATAATTGCTCATATTTTGACATGAACTTTACTCTACAAAATTAAAACTTATTGCCTATGTATACAAAAAATGGTAAATAATAAGCTATATGAAGCAGGGCCGTAACCACCAAGGACACTCAGGGGGACCTATAAACGTCTACATCCATAGAATATATTTAATATTCTTGATGTTGCTCTGCTGCGCTCCATTACACACCACTGTTTTATTAGGATGACAAAAGTTTTAAAATATACATTTTTAGGTTGGTCTGAAGAGACAAGGAACTAATCTCTCTGTCCTTGAAAATCAATCCAAATTGGTCATTCCAGACTTACTTATTTATTTTTATTGAAAAAAGATGTACCACCAACATTTTTGTCAGACTCCTCTAAAACATATTTTGTTGGAATGTACTGGTTTAAATGCCACTAGGCAATTTTTTTTATACACTAAAGTTTTTAAAAATATTTCACAAGAATAATCCTGAAATATTTTTTTTATTAAATATTGAATTGAAAAATCCTATATAATGTCTGTTATAATACTGTAAGTTGTTTGTCAGTTGTTAATTTTTAAGACTAATATATGTTCCCACTATTTGTTTCTTTTAAAATACATCAATCTTGCCATGAAAATAGCCATAGATGCTCGTATATGGCAATAAAACTGTTTATCTCCATACTCTCCCCTGTGGGGGATGGATGTGTGTATTTACTCAAGGCCTGTCCCAGGTGCTATAGAACCCCACCGGATTAGATCAGGACTTGGTGCCTCCCCTTACTTCAGACACACAGTCATCAGTAAGCACCCCACCCCCACACACACACACACACACACCAACAGACCAGAAAGGGAGGATAAATTCCCCTGCTATCCCTTAGTCACTTTTAATCTGGACACAGGAAAGAACGTGATAAATAAGAAGGAAATGCACCTTGAATTAGTCCGTTTATCAGCTGATGGATTGCTGTGACTTGTTCAGTGTATGACTCTCTACATCTAGCTGTCTCTGGAAAGGAGATGGTGGGCCTGGCTGTCTCCTCCTCAGCAGCTGTTTCTGGTAGGTGTTTTGTCACTCGCCTGTTTGTCTTTTATTTGCTTGGGAACTAGATAATTGCATTATTGAATAGCTTTCACGATTTCCGTACAAGCTAAAGTGAAACGTATTGATTAGTTTGAGTAAATGTAGTTATTCCAACTTGAATTTAGCATAATAAATCCATCAGCAGTTGTAGCTTTAGGCATTTTAGTTGTAGAGTTTTTATATTGCTTTACGAGTAAATCTAGTTGCATCACTCATAAAATTATCCGTACAAGTTTGTAACAGGTGTTGTATTTGTTGTCTAAGCAAAATACGCTTGTAAAATAAGATTTCACCAAGGTGTTTAGAGCTTTGTCGAGGAGTGCTGTGGTTTTCACAATAGAGTATACATTACTATCTCTGGTAGGCATCTTAAAGTGCTTTGGCTGCACTTTTAATGAGGTGAGGAATGTTTCCTCGCTTTGCGGCAATGTGTGAGGTGCTGAGTGCTAAAGCACTGGTGCAGTTCTGGGAAACCGCCCCGTTGTCCTCTACAAACACAGCTTTCAACGCCAATTTCACATTCCTCGACATGGCTTTTAGAATATGTTGAAACAATACGACTGTCAGTAAAGTGCTTTCAAGTGAGCGAGAAAGAATAATAGAGTATCGACTCTGATTTGCCTGCGAGATCTCGAAGACAGAGATGAAAACACCTCGCAAGGGGTTGATCCAAAAGAAAGCATCGTACACCCATGCCATCAGGAGAACCTGGAGGACTTGAGCGCCGGTGTGGATTTCTGTGTTCTCACTACGCTGTTTTGATGTGGTATTATCAGAGAGGACCACATGTGCTGCTCTCTGGAGGGGAGTGGGAACGTTGTCCCGTGTTGTGCTTGGCTTTAGAAATGACCCTCCACAGGTGCAGCTCAAGATAAAGAGAAGCGCAAATATGTTTGATCTCATGTAAGAGTGTATCTCTGTAGGAATCATGTATGCTCCGCTGCGCTCATGTTGGTTTAAGATGGTCCTAACTGCCCTCATTAAGATTTCCAAATCGTATTTGTAGTTTCACCTGACTCTTGTGTTCTTTATAGAAAATACATCAAACACAATAAGTGCTGCACATGTGAGGCATGTTTTAGATACAGCATATTTATATGACAATTGGTCTGTGAACGACTGAGAACTGAGAACAACTGAGAACAACTGATGGCACCTGTTAACAAGTGTTTCTATGGTTTAATGAACCTTATTATGTAATTATTTGTGTTGCTTCATTTGTTGTTACTATTAAAAAATTAGATCACCAGCCTGGTTACATTTCCTGTAACTTTACTTCACAAAATAGCAACACATTTAGGGCCATATTTACTAAACGGCAAATTAGTGTGAAAGCGCAATTCCCAAAAATCGCAGGTGGGAGTGGAAAGTTCTGCGTTTGATCTACTGACAACGTACAAATTAAAGAACACAGACCCAGCCGGATCATTTCTATAATGACCAACATAATCTACCAAGAGTAGTGCAAATTAGTGTCTGGTTTAAGACCAGCTTTTTTGGGGCGTTAAATAATTAAATACCAGTAAATTGACAAGCACAAACATTTGTTAATCACCTTGCGTGATTCATTTAAACACTCTCCTCCCATAAATTTTGCGTCTAAAAGGTAAACTCCTACAAATGCATATGCAATAAGGTCAGCCACAAAAATAACCCTGTCCACGCCTTTTAAGTGCTGTTTTTTCACTGCGTGTCTTTAGTAAATCCCGACAGTAGTTTATTAACGTCAAAAGAGGGTTTGTGCTGGTGCAAGTTGTTAGTGAATCTGGCCCTTACTATCTTGATGCTCATTCTTGCCCTGCTCTTCAAATTGAACTGCTTATGTTTTTCACACAGCTGGTTTTAACACTACATTCTTCAAATAATTTGCCAAGTGGGCACAAGTGTAGCTTATCTGGGACACTTGCAAGCATTGTGCCACTTTAGTTGCTACCCGTGTCTCCTGGAGAAGGTCATGGTGAGGCCAACACGTAAAGTTAAACTCAGGCTTTTTGTGATCGCAGGGGTCTTGTGTCAACAAGTCTGAATAGCAAAACACTCAGACTTACACACCGGTGGGAGTGCCTGTAAGGCAGCTGGGGACACGATGAAAGGAAGTGAGATGTTTTGCAGAACATTAGTCAATAACAAAGGTTTTGCAACTGTGGTGAATCAAAGAAGAAGAAAAAACACTCTTGTCAAAGCAGCAGTACGCTGACCCAAATTTCAGATGAGTAATTTCTGTGCTTGTGGGTGTAAGAATGTGTTTGTGTGAATTTGAGTATTTGTGTTTCTTTGTGGCTTTTAAACTCCTCACCTTCCCCATGGAGAGATGTGATCCTGAAGCGTTTTGACATTTTCTGGACCACAGCACAATCTGACTAGAAGCACATCATTCATTAACGTTTCTCAGGGGGATGTGGAAGAGGGTGGTGGCCGTTTATGAGCGAAGCACGGGGAAAAAAGAGAGGGACTATAGCCGTGAGGCTGAAATACTCTGGTATCTTCTCTAACTATACCATCACACATTTTTCTATACTTGAGAACTCCAAAGCTTGTTTATGTCAGTATATTTCATACAGTTTGGACCAACTTCAATTCCGAACTGGAGTGTAGATATAAAACTGGAAAACTATGGTCTTAATAGGGAATAAAAAATGAATACCTTCATTCAGCAAGAATGCATTAAATTGAACCAAAGTGACAGTAAACGAGACTTTTACATTTACATTTCTATTTTAAAGGGTTAGTTCACCCAAAAATGAAAATTCTGTCAGTAATTACTCACCCTCATGTTGTTCCAACCCTGTAAGACTTTCGTTCATCTTCGGAACACAAATTAAGATATTTTTTTATTAAATCTGAGAGCTGGATCACTCCTCCATAGGCTTCTTAAGGGATCGAAACTGGCCGGCCCAAAAGTTATGAAAGACATCGTTAAAATAGTCCGAGTGACTACCGTGGCTCAATCTTAAGTTTATCAAGCGACGAGAATACTTTTTGTGCACAAAAAAACAAACAAAAATAACGACTTTATTTAACTATTCATTTCCTTCTCTGTGGGCCGTGAGATTTCACGTAGTGAAACTACGCAAAGCTTCTGTGTTGTACGTCACACGTAGGCTCACTATTGGCCGACGCTGGTCATGTGTGTGATGCGTGTGATGTACAGCCTAGAAGCTTTGCGTAGTTTCACTACGTTAAATCTCGAGCCCCACAGAGAAGGAAATGAATAGTTGAATAAAGTCGTTATTTTTGTTTGTTTTTTTGTGCACAAAAAGTATTCTCGTCGCTTGATAAACTTAAGATTGAGCCACTGTAGTCACTCTGACTATTTTAACAATGTCTTTCATAACTTTTGGGCCGGCCAGTTTCAATCCCTTAAGAAGCCATGGAGGAGAGAGCCAGCTCTCAGATTTAATCAAAAATATCTTAATTTGTGTTCCGAAGATGAACGAAAGTCTTACGGGGTTGGAACAACATGAGGGTGAGTAATTAATTACTGACAGAATTTTCATTTTTGGGTGAACTAACCCTTTAAATAAATGTCGTTTTTATGAAATTTCTCTTCATCAAAAAATCCTGAAGAAAACTGGTTTCTACAAACATTTTAAGCAGCACAACCGTTTTCAACTTTGATAATAATACGAAATGATTCATGAGCACCAAATCAGCATATTAGAATGATTTCTGAAGGATCACGTGAGACTGAAGACCAGAGTATACCATACTGTACCAAAGACATTTGAACGAGAGCATATAAAATATTATCAGCGATTCAAGTTAGCTGGTCTGCAGCAGGAATCATGTCTTTCGCTATCTTTTTTGTCATTTCAGCATTTTCTCTCTCTGCTTTTGAAAGAATTCCATATTTTAGTATTTATTACTCATGGAGTATCTGACATATGAAGTAGAGTCTTGACCCACCACACCTGTTAATATCAGTACTAAGCCCACAGGCCCTGAGGTGGATACTTTGGCTCAGCTGACCCTCTGTCCAAGCCAAATTGTCCAGCTGTGTGATGGACATGGATGATCAGCCCTGTTTACTCCCTCTCTTTCCAGCCTTCTGCTTGTGACCACTGTGGTCCCAGTGTTGCTCATGAGCTCATGTCCACTGGGGCAGGAGGTGTTCACATGGCTTGATTACTTTCCTTGAACAAAACAGTCAGAATCCTTCCACATTAGCAAACCTCCTGCCAGGGCACACACTGCCTAGTGTCGCTGACAATCTGTTTTATATTGTTTCATGCTTTGCTTTTTTATTCTTCAAAACGTACTTGCAGTCCAGATTTTTGGTTGCATGTTTTTACTAATTTGCTGACTGTGCATTAGCTCAAACTCATAGAGTCAGCATTAGTAGCGGCTCATTAGTAATGGTTTTGGGAGAGAAAATGTGGTTTAGCTGGTGTGTAACACCGTTTGAACTTTGCAGTTTGTGGGAGGCAATATCTGGTGAGATATCCTAGGGATGTCAGCCCACCTCCTTCAGATTAAAGCTCCACACGCAGACTAGCGGCAATGTCATTGAGCCCTTTCCTCTGCATAATCTAGACGTAAGAGACCAGAGGTTAACCCACTGTCTTAACTTGTCTTAGGGGAGTTTAGATGTCAGGCTATGAATGTATTTATTGGGTTTGGACCCTCCTCTGATGCTCTCTGTGAGATTGCTAGGTAGGATGGGAAGCTCACCACAGATCAGAGGGTACGTATTTGATTCTACACAGGGGTTTTTGGTTTCACCAGCAGGGAGGTTTCCATCCCACAGAGACCTGGATGAGAGCTTGAGAGTCCCAGCGTGAAGTTTTGAGCTCCAAACCTGTTCCAATCTATAATCCTGCTGACCTGTCATCATCCCTCCTGCCCATAACTCATATTGTCCGCTGAGATGTGTGTCCATACTGAAGACACTCTGTGGAATATAAAGTTACAAAAAGCTGTGCATCTAGCCTTTTTGATTCAGTCATCCCAGCTTTTGAGAGTCAGAGATGGATGATTGATGACGAAGACCAGAGTTGATCTCAAGCCTGCTATCCCCTCTTCTAAAAAGGGTCACTGACAAAGTGTCCATATGTATGTTATGTGAATTTTTTTAAGTGAATTTTTGTTGTTGAAAATCTCAGATTAGGGTTGTAAAATTCTTAGGTTTGCATATGGTTTAAAAAGGTTTATACTATATTTAAGAAAAAAATAATGGATCTAGCGTTAGAATCATTCTAGATGACATTTTCTACCTTTTTCCCCCACCAAAGAAAATATCTAAATGGACCTTAATTAGGAAATAAAAAGATGATAATTTTAAAAGATGTGTAGACAAGTCACTATATGTGTGTATTGTATTTTTTAATGTATTCAAAAAATTAACAAAATGAGTGTCACGTCATTGACCAAAAGCCACTGCAACTGACACTTGTTTTCATTTGCTTGCTCATGCTGAGGTGTTGATGGTTGATCTAATTAATCTGCTATTATGACAAACACTGACAATTGTATTTGGTCTTTATCGACCTCTAACCCTAAGTTTTGACCTTTAGCAATGGAGCTTTTGGTGACGGAGTTGAGTGTCCTGTTGAAGCTGTTGGACCATGAGACCCTGAGCTGTGCTACAGAAGAGAAGAAAACGGCTGTGAAAAACCTTCTCAGACAACTTCAGCCCTCAGGTATATCTAAAATCAGTTTTTATAATGGCTATTATCTGGTCCAAGCTGGGTTTAGTGGTTGGACCACCAGCCGGTTGACCTTGAAGGCCATTGATGTCCAATCAATTTGTTAGAGAGACACCTTTTTGCTGAGTTTAGGATTTATACAGGAAAATTCATCCCTATTGTAGACCATTTTGATTAGCTTAGTTAGATCTGGTAGACCACCTCGGATAAGCCTTTTAGTCAGATTGACTACATTAAGCTATGACCTGTTTTTTTTGTCCAGCAGGGAACTGCACATATATTGCAAAATAACTCAGAAAACATCAGTCTTACAGAGAACCAATAAAAATATGCTTAAGGCAATTTAGACAGTGACAAGACCAGAGGGATAAACATCAACCTTGTTTCTCTCATAAATGAGACTGAAAAAGCTTTTGGCAGTTGTCCTACTTACATATGTTTTCTCTTTTCTCATACTTGTTCTTTGCAGTCACTGGAAAAGACTATATGTACATGAACACCTCCGTGTACAGAAACGGAACCAGCTTTGTCGAATCTCTTTTTGATACATTCGGTAAGTGGGGAGTGTAAATGAGATTTACATCTCTCAACACTGTTCACTCCATTGTATTATGCTTATAAATGTGTTTGGACATTTATACAGATTGTGACCTTGGGGACCTGAAAGTTGAAATGGAGGATCAAAAGAAAGAGCCAGAGACAAACCAGACCGACCACTGTGTCTCCAAGCCAGTAAGAAATCTTCCCTCAGAGGATTACGCACAATGCTCCGCTCCTGAGACCTAACGCTAATATATAGTACATCATAAACCCTGATGTCAGTGTGTAATGAGGGCTGTGCTCTGCCACGATGAGATACGGCTGGAAGATTAATCGTTCTGCAGTGAAACCTGCTCTTCTCTTTCCAGCTGCATTGCACTTTCAGGGTCAGGCCGTTATCTTTTAGTCACGTCACCGTCAGCCCTTCGCCGAGGTCCCCATAGAGCCTATTATTAAGAGAGCACACTCTTCCAGCAGTCAGATTTTTCATTGTGTGTGTCAGTGTGTTTGTATGCCATCATAGCACAATAGTCCTGCATGGCCAGTATCTGACTTTTATTCAACCGTCATCCATGTGGCATGTGGGTTTGGCTTTTGATTGGATGCAGCGGTCACATATCATTTGTTATTGGAGTAAATTGCAGAGTGGTGGAATGGAGCCACATAACTTTGTGATATTGTGAGGACTCACTGAAAAGCAGATGTTAAGTGTGAATTAATGTGATGGGGCAGACAGATGGAGTAAGTCATTGTGTGTGCCACATTTTTTTGACCAGAGCTCAACGGGCTCGCCTCCCCCCCTGCCCAACACACCACCTCCAGAGGATTACTATGAAGAGGCCGTGCCACTCAGCCCTGGAAAGATGCCAGAATATATAACCAGCCGCAGTGAGTCTTATTGCTGTATGTCCGTTGTATGGAAACATGACATGGTCTATATAAATTCCTATAGACAAAATAACTTGTAGAGTGACTGAGTTACAACTTTTTGTTATTTCCAGAGTCCGAGTGTTGACGATAGATCTTGTCACTACGGGAACCATTTGATGTCAAAGTTAATTGTACTGTAGTTCTCAACCCATTTTACTTCCATAATAGGACACATTTTTTAATGAAACATTACAGTATATTCAACAAGAAAAAGTATTTATTTTATCCATTATGAAATTATTGGATTGTAAAAAGTGGGTGCTACTTTCCAGAATGGAGCTATGCTCAATTTAAAGTTACAAAAACGGTGTTTAAATAGCTATTGGTTAACATTACATCGTTACAAGTGACATCGGTGGTAAAAGTCAATTCAGAACAAATTAATACATTTTGATCAAGGAATTAGGAAGGCAAATGGGGTCAAATTCATTCCATTGACTTCCAATTAAATGCAGAGAAATGCAGGTGACCAAAAACACAAGCTTATGTAAAGAAGTTTCGCATTTTGTTCCATTTCAAAGTTTCAGTTTGGTAAACTCTAAACTTTGCAAATTCACAAATTTCATAAAGACTTTTTTTTGGCAAATGTTTGTTGGTGCTAGATATAGAGACAGTCAGCCAAGAGAGGGATTGCTGTAGGCTTCTGTAGGCTAATTAAGTTCGCTTATCATCTATCAGTGTTGTAGTCAAGAAGACCGGCAGAGGACGGTGGAGTCCGAGTCAAGACTAAGTCCAAACGAATCCATGACAAGACCAAAAGCATGAAAATATAGTCTCGATGTCTTAGAGACCGAGTCAGGTCTCGAGTACTACCACAAAGATAGTTGCCCCTTTATTTCAATTTAAATTAATAGAAATATCCAAGTTTTGGATATTTTTAAAAAGAAAACACTCTCTCTAAAAGTTTTTACACTTGTAATAAAGCAATGGCAATTCTAATAATGATGCTAAAACAGACTGCAGTGCATTCAAGCAATTCAGCAAGAAGATGCTAAGAGAGATGGGAGTTCTCGCTCATCTACATTTCACTTTGCAGAGGATTGCTAATTAGTGCATTGCCATGCAAATTTGGGATTCTACTTTGTCTACTTTTAAGAGGTCAACTGTTTTTTTTTTTTTTTTGCACTACAGGTAAAAAAAACACAAAAAAAAAACACTTCAGATATTATGATTGCTTCGCAAAGATTAGGGAGAGCATGTTAAATGTTTTTCCACACAGCCTATTTTAAATATACTGTATGGCACTGCACATTTCTCTTATATCAACAGGCAGCTCCAGCCCTCCTAATTCCATTGAAGATGGATATTACGAAGATGCTGAGAACAATTACCCAACAACGCAAGTGAACGGACGACGCAAGAACTCCTGTAAGCGGGGGAACCCTGATGCTATAAATAGTGATGTCATTTCTTCTTAGTAGTATTAGTATGACATTACTCCTCCCACAGATAATGACTCGGATGCCTTAAGCAGTTCTTATGAGTCATATGACGAGGAAGAGGAAGAGAAAGGCCAGCGTTTGACACACCAGTGGCCCTCAGAGGAGAACTCCATGGCCCCGGTGAGAGACTGCCATATCTGTGCCTTCCTACTAAGGAAAAAACGCTTCGGCCAGTGGGCCAAACAGCTCACTGTCATTCGTGAAAACAGACTCCAGGTGAGCTGGAAAAAGCCCTGAGAGATAAAAATGAGCCTTGATTTTTCCTGATGCTATCATGTAAACCCCTGAATCTTGTTTTATAGTGTTATAAAAGCTCTAAAGACCAGTCGCCCTACACGGATATACCACTCAGCCTGTGCACTGTCATCTACGTGCCCAAAGACGGCCGGAGGAAGAAACACGAGCTCCGATTCTCCCTTCCCGGTGGAGAGGCGCTGGTGTTGGCCGTGCAGAGCAAGGAGCAGGCCGAGAAATGGCTCCAAGTAAACACAGTCCCTCACTTTCTTGCACGATTGGGTATCCATCCATTATGCATACACACAATGGATGTATCGGCTGCCAGAATCAATATTGCACAAGAGGAAAATGGCTTTTGTAAAAGGGACCCCCTGTGTGATTACACGCGTAGGAAACGCTTATGTGTGTGTATCTTTGTGTGGTTGCAGGTGGTGCGTGACGTTACAGGCCAGGGGAATGGGTTGGAAAGCCCATCATCTCCCATGATTCCTAGGAAGATTGAAATGGATAAGGTGAGATCCCAGCACACATTTGTCTTATTCATGACTCCTGTGCATCTCATCTTCATTACTGACATATGAAGTGTGCCAATAACGAACTTTTGGGGATACGCTCATTCTGTATAAAGTGGTCTTTCTGTGACTTTTTCAGGAAAATAATCCCACATACAACACGTAAGATGAATACCTCTCGACATTTCCTTACAAAAAGTATTTTAAAAACATAGTATTGCCATGGTACACGGTACATTTTATTAATGGTTTTAAGTACTTATTCTAAGTATCATTTGACACTGAAGACTGGAGCAATGGCTGCTGAAAAATCAGCTTTGCCATCACAGGAATAAATTACATTTTAAATTTATTTTAGAAAACATATATTTGAAATTATAATAATGATTTACAAAATTACTAGTTGTACTGTATGTTTGATCAAATCAATGCAGCATTATTAAAAAATGCAGCCAACATTAAAAAATCGTACCGACCTCCAACTTTTGAACAGTAGTGCAGATAACTCCAAATGGATTTGTCTCTGTCCTCTATCATTGTTTGTAATTACATCCCCAGTGCTGCTGTGAGTGCTGTGCTGTCTGTGTGTGTGTGTAAACAGACTGACAGCGTTTGAAATGTTCTTGGCTCGCTCTCCATCTGCTTTAATTAAAAGGCGTCAAGCTGAGGGTGGTCAATTCTGTCAGAGCAGCTGTAAATAATGTGCTGAGTTTAAGAGACCTGTTGTGAGAGGCAGAATCAATGGGAATGTAGTGATGTGTGATTGTATGTCAGGAAACACATTTTATCTGAATTTAGCAGTCGGTTGTGAGAGGTAGACTGCACTGGGAGTGTGTTTCCTGTCTGAACTCTGCTGCTGTAGCTGTCCAACACCCTGAATCTAGACCAATTCAGGGTTTATTCAGGATTATTTTTAATAATCTCCATATCCTATTGTACAGCATTAGTCAACTAATAGTTATGGATGTGTATATTTACAAATTTGGCGTATTTAGTTGCTGATCTGGCTGTGCTGTTGTCCCTGTAGTGGTGTTCTGCAGAGAAGCAAACCTCAGATTCTGACAGTGTGCCAAGTGGAGAAAGTGCTCGTGACAGCCGGGAAAATGGTGAGATCTTCAGTTCTGCCCCGCTGGTCTTCTCTGATTACACCTTAGAATCCAAAGATTTTCTTCCTGTTTTTTTTTTCTAATCCCACTCACAGTTCTTCTATCTTTATGTTTATTAGTGGTGTTTGTTAAGGCAATCATCATTATTATTAATAATATTTTTTAAACAAACCACTAAAGTAAAACAATAAAAGTAATTCATCTTGCAGTGTTTTTTACACTCACACTATACAAGGAAAGAGGGACCAGAATAATTTCTATAGACCAGAATGTCTTGTAGATTTAGGGTTGGGCTATCAACACCCTGGTAACTGCCCAAAACACCCTAGGAACCCCAGAGCAACATGTCAAAAACCACTCAGTATGCCTTGGCTATCACATAGCAACACCCTGGCAACCACCCAAAAACACCCTAAAACTACTCAGAATGCCATAGAAACTGTATAGTAACACCCTGGCAATCACCCAAAACACCATAATAACCACATAGCAATGTATTAAGCCGATCAGAATGCCTAATAAACCACATAGAAACACTCTGGCAACAACCCAAAACACCCTTGCAGCCACCTAGAAACATGTTGAAAACCATACAGTTAGAACACTTTAGCAATTGAATAACAACATCCTGACTACCACCCAGGGTCAAAACACCCTTCATAGCAATGCTCGAAAAACCCATAACACCTTTAGAAACTGCATAACAACACCCTGGCAACCACTCAAAACACCAATATAATTGTGCCTGCAAGGTTTTCATTGGCAAGAAACACTCACAATGTCTTCTGAATTTCAAAATTTTGTATCTCTCTCTCTCTCTCTCTCTCTCTCTCTCTCTCTCACTCTCACTCTCACTCTCACTCTCACTCTCACTCTCACTCTCACTCTCACTCTCACTCTCACTCTCACTCTCACTCTCACTCTCACACACACACACACACACACACACACACACACACACACACACACACTTTATTCATCCTTTTTTCCTTTGTCATAGGTACTCTGTTAACAAGCAGGAAGCCTTTATGCAGGATGTGGATTGTTTGTGATTATAATTGTTTGGACCAGTGAAAGTCTTTAATAGCTTTGGCCTAATTCCTGCAGATTGTGTGTCTGTAGACCACACATATCTTTCCATGTAATTTCATTCTACCATCAAACCTGTGTTTGTGTGTTTACAGGTAAACCCAAGCGAGGTGGACTGTCAGAGCTAACGGGCACCGTAAGCCGAGCTGCAGGAAGAAAGATCACAAGAATTATCAGTTTCTCCAAAAGAAAGCCTCCACTGCCAGGAGACGCCCGCATGTCTCTCGACCAGGATCCCCGGTGTGGTACGAGACACATCTTTCTCTCTCCCCTTTCTCCTCTCATATTACAATACCCATGACTCTCTCCACCTGTTATTTTCAACTTTTCTTTCTTAGCGTTTGATCTCAGACAGTGAAGTGGAATAAATCTACACCATGAAACAGAAGTGGGCGTACTGTAATAATTGCTGTAATTCTTTCTGTGTGTGTGTGTGTTAGGTTATGTGGGAGTGCTGTTGAATCAGTGCTGGAGGGAACACTGGTGTCGTGTGCGGGCCGGATCTCTTTACCTTTACCACGAGAAAGCAGAACAGCGAGTCCCCCACACCGCTGTGGCTCTGAAGGGCTGTGAGGTTGTCCCAGGCCTCGGGCCCAAACACCCCTTCGCCCTGAGGATACTGAAAGGAGGTGCAGAGCTGGCAGCTTTAGAGGTAGTGAAGCTTTCACAGCAATCCTCCATAGAGCTATATTCTAGTGGTTAGCTACATGCAAATTTAGTCTTGGTGTTTGTGCGGGTTTGATCTGTGTTCCTTCCTCTTCTCTCACCATCATTCATTGACATCTCTCAATCTATACTATAAGAATGAACCGATATTAAAATTCTGTCTGGCCGACCATTTTTTTTATTGCTGATATTAAAATACTATACTATTCTATACCATTTTGTCTAAATAAATAAATAAATAAATAAATAAAAATAAAACACTAAAAACCAAAACAAATAACTTGAAATGCTACAGGTGAATATAGGCATCATACTATTTATAATATACACTATAAAAAATGTTGATTTAACCTGAGATTTGAAAAAGATTATTGAACAGTGTTATTGGATATTTTTAAAGATTAACTTTAAGTGAATGCCCGATGACAGCAAATGTAATCTAAATAGAAATTACCATGCACAATTAAATATATATAATCAACTGATACAAATTAATTAAAAAAAATAATAAATAAATATTTAATTTAATAGCTTAAATTAAATATTTAATTTAATAGCTTAATTTAATATTGGATTAGTAGTATTATTTAAATACTATTACAGTATTTATTTATATTTTGATTAGCTTTTATTTTTATAATTGTATTTTAATTTGACCACATTTTTTGTTATTTTTTGTTGTCTTTTATCATTTTTATTATTATTTTTTAATATTTATGTTTGACTTTATTTTTATTGAATTTTTAGTTTTAGTTATTCAACTTTAATATTCATTTGAAGGGATAGTTCACAGTAATTACTCACCCTCATGTTGTTCCAACCTTTCCAGACTTTCGTTCATCTTCGGAACACAAATTAAGATATTTTTGATTAAATCTGAGAGCTGGATCACTCCTCCATAGGCTTCTTAAAGCTGCTGTAGGTAACTTTTGTAAAAAATATTTTTTACATATTTGTTGAAACTGTCATTATGTCCTGACAGTAGAATATGAGACAGATACTCTGTGAAAAAATCAAACTCTTCTGGCTCCTCCTAGTGGTCCTATAGCCATTTGCAGAAATACACGCTCCCGGTCCGAAACAACCAATCAGAGCCAGGAGGAATGTCTTAGCACTGTCAATCACGCTCGTGTACGCGCTGATCACACCCCTCTCTTGCACAGGGCGAGCGCGTACCGTCGTTCAAACTCAAGATTGCCGGCGAGCTGCGGCTGTGCTTATGACGGAGAAACAACCTAAACTGCCAATTTCTCGAGTGACACCTGCTCATAAAACAAAAAGGTAAAAGGAAAAATACCGATGACGATAAACAAGCGAAAAAGAAAGAATTACACAGAGCCCATTGACTCGGTGTCAAAACTCTAGCCGCATAACATGTAGATAAAATGTCACGCACTCTGCTAAGCAACAATTGAAACCTGCTAATTCACTGGCTTGTCATGTTGCTGAAATAATGTACTAGCACACCTTATCTGGCATTATATATAGCTAGAATAATTACTTACATACTGTAACGTTAGTTACCGTTATATTAACATTATCTTACTAGCTATTTATAACTTATAAAAAGAGTGCAAGTTATAAAGTTACATGTATTGCAAAATACATAATGATTTGAGGACCAAGTTTGTAGTCAAAGTATGGGCAGGCCATAGTCAATGTAAAGCATATTGTTGACGTTTAGTTCCTATTAGTGAATGTGCCATATAACTTTTTATCCGCTGTTATCGGTGGCCCTGTTTACTAGCCTGCGCGTTCACGACAGGCTCCGCTGTGGAGGACGAGCTGTGGAGGGAGGGCTGTAGCGCAGCAGAGAGCAAGGGGGTGGGACCTGTAAGTTGTGCTTGTTCAAATTTTCAGGCTAAGTCAATGTTTTCTCAAAACTCCCCACTGCAGCTTTAAGGGATCGAAACTGGCCGGCCCAAAAGTTATGAAAGACATTGTTAAAATAGTCCGAGTGACTACAGTGGCTCAATCTTAAGTTTATCAAGAGAATACTTTTTGTGCGCAAAAACCAAATAAAAATAACAACTTTATTCAACTATTAATTTCCTTCTCTGTGGGCCTCACGTAGTTCACGTAGTGTAACAGCGCAGCACTTCTGTGATGTACGTCACACGCATCACAAAAAGTATTCTCTCCCGAAAGTCTTACGGGGCTGGAACAACATGAGGGTGAGTAATTACCAAGCGGCAACATTCTAATCTGAAAAATGAAGCCTACCTAGAAGTGCGAAAAACTGCAATACATCGAAAATCCGCTAGAGGGAGGTCCCAAAAGGGAGCAAATATCCATAGACCGCATGTTAAAATGTCCGTTTTCACAGCATAAATTTATATGTTTACATGTTGGTCCCATGGACTTTTATTGTATTTTTGGATAGGTCCCGAGTGCCTGACAACTGTGAGGGGGGTGAATTTTTTTCTAACTCGGTAGTTTAGATCGTATTTAGATATAAAATGTATGACAAATAAGCACGTGATTGACAGCTGATAACGGGCTGCGCCGAGTGGAATTCCTGAAATTTGACGTCTCGGCCATGATCTGACACAACACATCATACCACCTCTGTATCCTTTCTGAACATTTGTATTTGAAATATCGTACGATTTTCCAAGATGGCACCGCCCATACCCCCCATAAACAGCCTCAAAACCGTTCTTCAGAAAGTCTATGGGTGACGTCACAGACGCTTTGTCCATATTTTTTTACAGTCTATGGTAATTACTGACAGAATTTTCATTTTTGGGTGAACTATCCCTTTAAGTTTAAGTTTTTCATAATATATATATATATATATATATATATATTAATTTCAATGGAAAAAAAAAGATTTTTAATGGTCTAAGTTTTAGTTAACAATAACTAACACTACTATCTTTAAATGTTATGTTTTTTTCATTCTTTAATACTCTTTTATCATGTCTGATGATTAAATGCTGTCCATACAGTCTATTTTATAATCTTCGTGTGTGTGTGTGTGTGTCTGGCTCTTTTTGTGATTGCAGCTCATGTTTGTTCTTGCTTGTGTTTGTTGTGTTAGGCGAGTTGTTCGGAGGACATGGGCCGCTGGCTGGGAGTCCTGTTGGCAGAAACTGGTTCCTCTGCCGACCCCGAGTCCCTACATTATGACTATGTAGATGTGGAAACTATCGCCAACATCCGCACGGCTGCCCGTCACTCTTTCCTGTGAGTTAAGGGTTAATGTGGTGAGGGGTGGAGTTATAGATTGGGTCATCTTGTTGTTTTGACTACCTTAACTGTTCTTATTTCTTTTCCTGTTTATTTAGATGGGCAACCTCCACAGATTCACGAACATATGATGAGGTCCCTTTTGAAGCCATAGAGGTTTGTGGTCTCACATAAGAAATTATTGAAGAAATTCACAACACTCGTGTGCATGCATCATACACAAACATTAAGTGTAAACAACACTCATGAGTGGAGTCATTGTCTTATTTTTTAAATCTTTTTTTTTTCTTTGTTTGAAGAAAAGTCTTCTTTATATCCATGTGCCCTGACTGGTCTTTAATGAAAGATGAGAAGTGTGTGCTGACTCTGCAGTAATCAGGGGTTATAGCAGGTTCAGTCGTCATGGCCTCTGGCCTCCGAGTGGCTTGTTAAACCTGTGCTGAACCTTCGGACACCCGCACAGAAACATCAGTTCTCTCCATCTGTGCGTGCCTCAACTTGTGTGATCAGGGCACACACTATACTAAAAAAAGTAATTTTTTCTAAAATCTCCTTACTTCAGGAGATTTTTTAAATTGCATTTTTTAAAAAGCAACAAAAACAATTCTGATTAAAATAAATAAATAAATCTCCTTCAGTAGTTTTTGTATCATTCTGTTTAAAATGTCATATTGCATTGTGCAATATTGTAATACTGCATCTCAAGCCAAACAGTAAAATTATGGGGAAAAAAAGAAAGAAATTATCCCATAATTTACTCAACCTCAAGCCATCCTAGGTGTTTATGACTTTCTTCTTTAAGCCGAACACAATTGGAGTTGTATTAAATAATATCCTGGCTCTTCCCAGCTTTGTAATTGCATTGTATAGTGCCCTAGTTTTTGAAGCTCAAAAAGCATATACATCCATCATAAAAGTAATCTATTCGACTCTAGTGGGTTAATAAATGCCTTCTTAAGTGAAGCATGGGTTTTTGTAAGAAAAATATCCATATTTAAAACTTTACAAACTATACTGACTTCTGGCAACGGCCGTACGCGTGATCACGATAGAGTCGAGTTCCTGCAGAAGGGGGACCTCTGATCCGACGTAGGACGTAGCTCCTCTTTTCTTATTTCAAAATCCTCCTACATTTTTTTGTAATTACAAGACTTCTAATTCGTAACCACCATTTTGTTTTGCTCTATCCTCTTCGCTTCAGGGTTCATCAATTCTCATCTAAGCTTATGCTATGCCTACGTCATACATCCTATGGATACATCCTATGTCATAACTCCTATGTCAAAGGTCCTACGTCATACATCCTATGTCCTACAATACATCATAACTCCTACGTCATAAGTCCTACGTCATACTACGTTATAAGACCAATGTTATACATTCTACGTAATACATCCTATGTCATAAGTCTTACGTCCTACATCATAAGTCCTACATCATACATCATGTCAGAGGTCATCCTTCCGCCGGAACTCGACTCTCTCGTGAACGCACTTACGGCCAAAAACCCATTGCTTCGCTTCAGGATGTATTTATTAACCCACTGGAGTCATATGGATTATTTTTATGATGGATGGATGCGCATAAAGACAGAATGCTACCATTTATTTAACTTTTTTTCCACAGTTTGTGGATTTTATTGGCATGTTTATAAAAACGCAATTAGCATCAGCTATTCATTGTGAATCATTTGTTACAGATTGGGTATATGAGAACAGAAATGGCATTCATTTTGTGGATTGACCCATATGAAGCAGCATGCAGTACAGTTGTTTATATAGACAATATCTGACCTGGTACACTTCTTTTCTTCAGCAGGGACATGAGAGGTTTAGGGGAGGAGCACAAACGAAGCGTCGTTCTTCTTTCTCCAGCAGTGACACAGGAAAGCCCAGTCCACAAATCACCCTAAAGCGCCACGGCTCCAGTGAGTCCCGTCACACTCTGCACTGTGCTGGTTGTGCTTATAACAAACACAGCTGTTAGATCCAGCGTTCTCTTTAACATAAAGAATAGATGGTTTTAAGTTTTTATTAGCAGCCTGCTGACTGCTTAACCTTATTTTGGCCATTTTGAAAAGTTCTCGCGCTGTCACATCAAAAGCAGTCAGAATAATGTAACCTGAGCTTTAGACATTTTGGTTTGATCTACGGCTCTGCATTTTCACACTCATTCTCTCACCAAATAAGTGCTAAGAGCTTTGCCACCTTCCCGCAGACTTCTAGGGTCTGATCTTTGAACTTTACTTGACATTTCAGATGCAAATCAATACGGGAGGTATGGGAAAACGCGGGCACAGGAGGATGCACGCCGCTTCTTGAAAGAAAAAGAAGACCTGGAGACAGAAATAGACAGTATCAGAAGTGCACTAGTCTCACTGCGGAAGAAGAAACGAGAGGCAAAGGAGAAAATGAAAGGTGCAACGGGTGAGAAAGAAATCTTTCCTCTCTATTTTATGCGATAATACAGAGGTACTATTCCACAGTAGTTGGTTTGGTTTCAAAAGAAGTGAATTTAGGGCCACTTTTACTAGCAAAATAGGTGTTTAATGCTTGCTTCTTCAGTTTAACTTCAATTTTTTATTCAGTCATGTGATACATGTCCTTTTGTCTTTTTTTTTACAATGTATACATATTTAGATGATTCATAGTGTAATAAACTATTCGCTGAGAGGGTACTACCAGCTCCATTAACATAACACAGAACATTTGATTTATTCTAATGATACAGCTATATAGGGCTAACTGATTAATCAAAATAAAACTAAATGTGCGATATGGCTTTGTGCGACTATCAAATCGCAAATAAATTGAGACTAGAATTAGAATTGTAGATTTTAAAATAAAATAAAGATGATGATTTTTTTTTACCAAATTGTGCAACACCTACACACAAGTACAGCAAAATTGGTGCTCTTTAAAAAAAAAAAAAACATATCACATTTTAAATTGCATTTCCCCCCCCCATTTTGTGCAGCCCTACTACAGTTGTAGTGATTTTTTTCCTCTTACTCAACTAGTGTCCTTATGTCTATGTGGTCAAAATGGATCAGCCAGAAACACGTATGTAAATGTAATGATCTATTGTTGTGCAGATAAGCAGAGGTTGGCTTTAGAGGAGCGTGTCGTCCAGTTGGAGGACAGCTGCCGGGTGAAAGAGGGTGAGCGTGTGGATCTAGAGCTCAGGCTCACGCAGGTGAAGGAGAACCTGAAGAAATCTCTGGCTGGTGGAGAAATGGAGGCGCCTAGTACGCCTACAGAGTCTAAACCTACAAACAAGGTACTGGGCAAATATTAGAACGAATAGTTTAATCAAAAGGATTGTCTGATGTTAAATATGCTTCTTTCTTTCCTCAAAGACTCAAAGGACGGAGACTCAGTATATTGAGTCGGTTCTCCCTGTCAACTGCGCCTCTGAAATGCGTAAGCGACCTCCCTCCATCTATGCATCCACAAAGGGAAATGTTATGCAGAAAGCCAAGGTAAACACATCAGTGGTCACAACATTATCCAGTGCAATGCATCAAAAGGCAGATAATACAAACAGAACAGCTTGCTGCATCAATAGGGATCACATTAAAGCATTTAGTCCATTTCTAATTAGTCAGTCTCTTATGAGTTTCATCGATCACTTTAGGGTCCTGCTAATAAGATCTTATACTGTATGTTGCCGAATAGGCCCGTATGTGTGAGTAACTTAAACATTAATGCTTTGTTTTTAACCAGGAATGGGAATCTAAGAAGGGGACTTAGAGAAACTGCTGATCAGGAAGACTTCACGATTAATATGAGGACTTGCACCAACAGACTGCTGTATATGCAACTCTATGGTGACTGCCACTTTTATAACTTTACAGTGGAGTTAGAATGACAAAGCACCAGCTCTATTATAATACTTTGCAGCCAAATGATGTCCTCTTCATGTGTCTTGTGAAGTTCCATGTGACAAGCATAAAATGGCATCAGTGTTGAAGGATTGAGAGGGTATGATGAAATAAGTTTGTCAGTTGAAAGTGAAAGAAAGAATTGTGGTTAAGTTGTAAAAGAAGCAGAGGATGGTAATGCATGTGAGACAATCCACTTTAAAAACTCTTTAATTTAAAAGAGGCATGGTAACGGATTTGTACAGGTTTTTTTTTCACTCCATTGCTCATATTTCTAGGGTAATTCCAGCTCTTAACCAAGTGGTGCTAATAACAGTGTACATTTGAAAATTGTATATATTTTTTTTAACATTCTTTTTAAATCTAGCTTCATAGTATCTGATACTCATGTTTGTATCCCTCCCCCATTTCTTTACCACCTTTTAATGTGAGTAACATTTGCACTTTAAATGTCTTTAGACATGGAGATGGGAATATTCTTTTAATAAAGACAAAATGTATCTTTGCTCCCATGTCAGTTATAGACTTGCAAAAGAATTATCAGTTGGAAATAAAAACTGTTTTACTGCGAGACTTTATACAAGCCAGCCAAAAGAAGAGAACTGTCCTAGTTTCTAAGAACTGGGCATTGAAAAGCCACTAAATAAAATATGCATGCATATGTGGTAACACTTTACAATAAGGATTCATTGTTAACATTAACAATACTTCCGCATAATTAATTTTAGTTAATGTTAACTTCCACATTTACAAATGCATTAAAAATCGAAATTATCTGTTAATATAAATGCACTGAACTAACAAACAATTTTATTAGCTAACATTAACACATTTCTCATTCGTTCATGTTAACTGAGACCTCATTGTAAAGTGTTAACACTATAGTGTATAATATACACTGTATATCCTGAGAGCACCTATTCCACTTGAATATGGAAAAATCCAGGAAGCCAATAAAAGCCATTGCAGAACCTGACATTTCCTTATAAGTCACAAAAATATCACAGGTTGATTGTCAATTAATATATGTTTAATGAATGAAATGACTCCTTTACTGAGATCTGAACATTGGTGATTGAGAGAAAAAGCTCTCAATATTAGACAATTTCAAAAAACAAAACCTTAGAGTCAGATTAAAAGATCCCTTTGAACATTAATTTTATAAAAAGTTTAATAACAGTTAAAAACAAAAAAATTGAATGTACAACGTTCACAATTCAAAAAAAATAAATTTAAAATTCACACTCAGGGGGCAAGTCAACAGTCAGCTCATTTATCGTCTGTAGGAAGGCCTCCATTTCATCAGCATATTCCACTGCTGCATGAGAGAACAAAGAATTAACAAGCTTAATGGAGCATAAACACGTTTTGCATTTAAAGTTTAAACTGCTTCAAACTATAGGCCTAGTCATTACCACTGGGCATCTTTAAAGGTGAGAGTGGCAAACACTGATCCATAATAAGCTCTTCCACAGCAAGTGAAGCAGCCGGCCACGTCGGTTTAGCCAAACCAGCCAGAGAGAAACCACTGAGGTAGACTTCATCTGGAACACTGTAGGTCTCAAACTCTACACAATTAACACAGGACAGAATCATCAACAGCTGCCTGACACCAAGAGAGTTCAGTTCCAAAGCCATAAAGTAGCAGACAGGCCTACCGCTTGGATTGTACGGGAAGCACTTCTCAATCTCTGGCAACTCCTCACCAGCAGGCTGAGCAAGCACCTTACACTGATGATGAAATATGCATTTAACGTTAATCAACGTACAAATGATTACAATACAGTTGTCGATGTAGGAAAGAAGCCATCATAATCTCAAGAACCAACCTTGGCCTCTGCAGGTTTGGTTTTCTCCTCTGCTTTATAAGTGGCTGCTGGGGTGGCAACAACCTTATTTATGACTCCCAAAGCTTTTCGGGTGGATTGCAGAGGAGCTCCGAGACGCGCCTTTCCTGACAGAGGTGTTCTCAAGCACTGATCTGAAAATGTTATACTAGTAAATTATTGACACCCATTTATCATATGGTTCTGGTACAAAATGAATTTTGGTGTCTGAGCATTGGTACTGACCTGGAGCTGAGTGCAGTCTGTTCGGGCGAGATTTGATGGATGGAGTGGTCAGTCTGCCGTTCTCCTGATCCAGGTAAATCATGGTGTCCATGTCTGTTGCTTTGCACAGCGTTGACAGAGACAGATTAACGTTAAAGAAACACTGCAGCTTCAAGATACAAACTACACTCACTTAACAGCAAGACAATCAAAAGCAACTTGTTCGGTTGAAATAATGCCGTTTGTGATTTGTAACAAAACAGTTAATCTTGGGCAATTTCGTTTTACGTTGTATTATTAAAAGTGATATCAATATATATATCGCCAGTTGAACTAACCTTTAGTCTTTCTAAAATCTAAATCATACCAGTCGAAATACAACCTCTACCGAGACGGTGTTGAGTACCTACCTTTTATCTGTATTATTCTTATCCTCCGTACACGAGCAAAAAAAAGTCGTTTGTTTTGGTTCTGAATTTCCCGGCTGAGTTTTAAAAGGCAACCAGCTTCCTCATTGGCTGATGGATTTCCCTCTTTGACCAGACGATGCTCTTAGTTTATTGCTTTAGCGCGACAGTGCCACCTAATGGCTTGACTGAGTAAAGCAATGGAGTCATAGATGAACAGTGAAACGGTGGCGGTGCCTATGTGGCGGTGTGGTGAAGTAGAGATCCCAGCGAAGTGATGAGTCCCAGCTTAGGATTCTTAATATAGTCAATCAAACTTTAATTCATGTAATAATATTTTATTTTTATCCTGATTATTTATATAGTTTAAGTGAAAGAAATTGCATTTTTAGGTATGTTTTGCGACATTGTTAATTTGTTATTAAGCGATAAGGCATACTATATATTTGTAATTACAAGCATGCCATGTCATAATTAATTCTTAAAAAGAATTATGCTTGTATCATATTTGTTATCGAAGTTTTTATCGACAAATATCGTCGAGGGTGAAAAAAACGTTATCTCTAATCATTTCGGATAGCTTTATGCTATGCTACTATTTAAGCTAACTAAAAAAACACTAAGAACGAGAAATGTTTAATTTCACAATCTATAGCTTCGGTTATATACTAGTATATGAAACATATAAGTTAAATTGTTGTTTGAATTGTAAGTTTGAATTGTGCCCTAGAAACATTGCAGAATCTTAAATATTTTTGATATATTTCACCTTAAAAAGTTTATTTTTTCCTTTTTTTAAATTAAAACTTTATTTCCAGATTTGAATTTTAGTTTTACAATATGGAATCAAACTTATGGACCCCACAGTACATACATGCATACATTGACCATTATTGGTTTTACTTATGGCATTTAATATGCTCATTCATTCATTGCTTATGAAGTTTACAACTTCCCTACAGCGCATTGCATTTCCCTAGCAAAGCAAGAAGAAGAACCATTGAAACCTTATAAATCAGCAATGTAAAGGCAATTGCTTAAAGGGGTCCTATTATGCCCTTTTACGAAGTCTTGATTTTGTTTTTGGGGTGCTGTGTAGAATATACTTTCATGCTTGAATGTTCAAAAAACGTATTATTTTTCACATAGGCCTAATTTACATTATTACATCACCTCTCTCCCCAATGTGGCTCGAACATGCCGATTTCGATGAAGCCCTTTCTTCCGAAATACGAAATGTGCTGTGATTGGTTAGCTGGCCAAGTGTGTTCTGATTGACAGCACTTAGTGCGTGTTCGGGAAATGTCCTGCCCCTCCATAACTGCAAGTTCTTCTCTAGTGTAAATATTGAGGATGGCGTCAAATTCAAACCAATTCAAGCCCGATTCAGACCCTGACAATGTTAACGAACATGCAGAACGGATTTCATGCACATACTTTGCAAGCACGGGTTTCACAGGACGTTTCAGAGTGGTATATTTTTTCTATTATGCGATTTGTTTTTTCTTATACATTATAGATACGATGCTATCCACCATTTAATCGAGATATTTGTCGGAAAATTAACAAACAGTAACTAATCACAAAATGTACCTAAGGAGCGGTGAACCGTCTTACAAAAAAAACAAGCTGTTTTCCATAAACTGTGCAGCGCACAGATAATCGTTGGGGTTATAATGTTCAGGAACAGTGTTTCAAGTAAGTTTGTCAGCCTTAGGAAGGAAATGGAAAAAAACAATGTCTCTTTGACATACTGTAGCGACAACACTGTCTTATCTAATGGAGCTCAGCCAGGCCTCGTCCCCTTTTTTGGGTATTCCGTGGGCGGGGATTATTTAAATGAATAACATGAGAACATTATGACTTCATAAGATCAGGAAAAATCGTGTTGTAGTCCAAACGAGCCATTCGTTGTAGTTCTTGTAAAGGGGATTCTGTTAAGTAAAAGATCTCCCTTTGGAGTGGACTTTGAGCTTTGTAACCTTGCAGATCTTTTTAATGCTCAAACAGCAACATTACACACTGAATAAAGTTGTAAAAGTGGGAAAAAAGCATAATAGAACCCCTTTAAGAAATAAGACTGGATACTACAACAGCGTCCTTCTTTGTGTCCTATTGCAGATGTGTCCCTATTGTGATTTATGTGTGTTCATGTAATCTTCATTTTCACTGTTGCATAGAAACACTTGCTTCAATGCAACAGTGAACCATGTACAAGCCCAGCTCAGTGTTATAGGGCACTATTCAACCTGGAGTTGATGGGTAGTCAACAGTCTTTTCACTTTTTCAGTCATTTGAGTAATACTTTGTTTAAGGAGATAGGAGGTCGAGTTTTCAGTCCGTTAGAACAAAAGGTAATAGAGCCAGTAGAAGATATTGACGAGGAGAAATGCCATAGGGAACAGTGTCCTTGAGTGTCTGTCGATGTTGTGAGGATTCTCGACACTCATCATGGATGCTGCTCGGTGAGACATTTGCTTTACAGAGGATAAACCGCACCCCTTCTCTTGTGTCTTGTCCACTGCCTCATCCCCTTCACATGCCACAGATTGCTCTGGCGTCTCCTGCTGAGTGGAGTCTACCGTCTGCATCTTTTTTGGTGACATTGAATTGACCAAGTGAGTCGTACCATTTGACTCCTCAAATTCTCTGAGTAGTTCCTATGAAAAGTTAGTTTAAAAAGGTAATTAATTAGTTGTAACAATAAAAAAGAAGTCATATTTAAGCACTATCCACAGGTTTCTCACCCTTTGCACATCTACAATGGTCTGGTGCTGCATGGTGCAGAAATGAGCGCAGGCATATTCCAGCAGAGCACCAAAGATGAAGGTGAAACAGATGCCGAGATAGACGTCAATAGCCTTAATGAAGCAGTTGGCATTAGGAAGTGAGGTCCTGGCACCCATCATTAGTGTGGTCATGGTAAGAACTGTGGTCACCCCTGTCAAATAAATAGATTTGGTAGAGAATATTTAGTTCATTTGATCTAGAAATGTTTTATAGCACATGTTTGCTAGAGTAATAAACTCTTGGAATCACTGGCCGATGCAGGTGCGAGCTGGTACGGAGGACTGACTGATCCAGAAAGACACCCATGACAGAACCACCAGCAATGTTGAGGGCACATACGTCTCCAGAATGAAGAACAGCACATTTCTGCGCAAAGCGAAGTGGAGCACTAGCTTCGGGTAAAAACCTGCAACAGATGCAGAATACTGCAGGTGATTCATACACTGTACATTTTAAAAAAAAATATTTACAGAAAAATACTATAAAATAGTACGTTGGTTAATGGTTAATTTGTTAACTGCAAATTACCTTATATATGGTGAAAACTGTACATGGTTTATAATTGTATTATATGTAAAATGCTGTAAAATGTATGAATTACCATATAATTACCATATAATTTTCAGTGAAAAACAGTAAAAGGGCCATTCCTAGTAGTCCTTGTATGACACTTGTGATTATATTTTATTTAAAGAGTTTTGTTTCGGCTTATTTTTGTTATCCGTAATGTACATTAGGGTGTTTTTGCTTTCTATTTATCATGTTGATTATCAGTACATTTTAAAGAGATAGTCCTTTCTTTTGGTTAGGATAGTCCTACCCAAAAATGAATCTTCTGTCATAATTTACTCACCCTCAAGACGTTTCCAGATCTGTATGAATTTCTTTCTTCTGCTGAACACAAAAGAAGAATTTGAAGAATGTCTAACCAAACAGGCCCAGGGCCCCATTGACTTCCATAGTATGGAAAATAAAAAATACTATGGAAGTCAATGTGGCCCATCAACTGTTTGGTTACCGACATTCTTCGAAATATCTTCTTTTGTGTTCAGCAGAAGAAAGAAATTCATACAGGTTTGAAACAACTTGAGGGTGAGTAATTATATTGAGGGTGTCAAAATATCAAACCAAGCGGCATCTGCAGACAAAATATGTTATACTTTTTCTGAATCATTTGAAACCTAAAACCTATTTTTGTGCAATATTTTGCTTGAAATATGTGCTTGTGCTATTTTCTTAATAAATAAATAAACGAATTTGGATGATCTTTTGTTATCTAATGCAGTGACATTCATGCATCTTTAGGTCAGGCTTAAGTGTCCAAATTCTTTTTTGGGACACTGTGTAAACCATGATTGCGCCGTAAGCCGCTTAGGAAAAAGACATGTATTAGAAGACTGGCTGACTGGTTCTTTTCAGTAAAATAAAATATAAAAGTGGCCAAGATATTCATAATGAAATTAGATGTTTATACCTGTTTCATACACAGCTTCAGATACGGTTGTGTAGTAGCTCTCTACACTGTACTGGGCCAGACGCAGTGTGTCTAACCCCTTCACTGAGTCATTCCCTCGGGTCCAGTAAAACACCACATCCTGTAAATTATAGCCCCCTGAACATGCATGCACACACATTCAGGTTTAAGGGTTTGCACAGCCTGCTCTTGAATAATCCATCAAATAACATTAGTAGAAGTCATTTACATCTGATTGTTTAGAGTGAAAACACTTACAGCTTTCTAATTGCAAAGTACACTCTTGTCTATCCATAGGATACTTGGTGAGGTCCATGTTGCAGGCGATGGTTGCTGTAATGCTGTGGAGATAAGGAGGAATATTGATTGAACCGTTTCAGTAGGAAGGTTCCCCAGACGCACATACAGCTGCCTGGTGCAGCTGTTCAGCAGCCTTGGGTAAGAAGTTGTAAATTCAGATTCAGTGTTAACCGGAGAGCGTAGAGCACGGTGCCATTGCTGAAGATGCGGATCAGGCGGTTCTCCACAGTGACATCATGGAGGAAGGAACGCTTAGAATCAGGGATGAACGTATCGGGGATCCACAGCAAAGAAACCAGCCGTCCATCCAGACTCAGACTTTCATTTCCAGGGAATATCAGTCGGGAATCTTGCCATCGTTGTCTTAGGAAAATAGTGGCTGTGTAGTCCTATCAGTATGTGAACAGAACAGAATCCCATTAGTCTTCAAGAAAGTTTACAGGTGAGGTTATAAACATGAATAGTAGCCCTACCATGTTAATCTCAGAGATGGCATCAATGCTGGCAATATCCAAACTCATTCCAATTTCAACAGGCCCCTCTGTGGGAACAAAGAAATGTGTTTGTATTATCCATGTTTTAATTCTCAATCTATATTTAATCAGCTGCAGCTGGTCCTCACGGTTAAAGTTTGGCCTTAGGTATCGATTGTAGCCTTTCATCAGCTTCTGTATGGTGGGCTGCAGTTGTGAATCATTCCACTCACCATACTGATTCCCATAGAATCCTCTTTCACTGGGAGACAGGGAGAAATGTTAACAATGTGGATGGCCGATGATTCTTAGTCTCAATGTGCCAGATGTTTATCTCTTTACTCACCCGTTTGTAATCAACAGAAATAGACTCGCCCAGAACAGAAGATAGAGCAGCATTCTGTGATAATGTGATACGAATGAGCAGTGGCTGTGAAGAGGATTTAAGAAAAAAGTTTTGTTAAAATCATCTCTATCAAGAACTGAGAGACCAGTCGCTCCGAAGGCCCTCTTTTGTCACCCCACACACTGTTTTCTCCAGGGATTATACAAATTAGATAATAAGATCTTTTAATTGCGTCGTTGTATTCCACATTTGCTTCTTTAAATTGCTACACATTTGCTACATGAGATTTTATATAAAAATTATGCCCGGAAAACTAAGAAGTGCGGCTTTAAGCCTTTCATCCAGCTTACCAAGTGAAACTCAGTCTTTGTAAACTTTATTTAGTGTGTAATGTTGCTGTTTGAGCATAAACAACATCTGCAATGTTACAGTATACGACGCTCAAAGGTCAATGCAAAGGGAGTTATTTTCTTTTACAGAAACCGATTTTTAAAGTCCCCATGAATTCAAAATTGACCATACTTACTTTGTTTGCCTAAATTGATCGTTTTGTGGTGAACAATTCATCCATGCAAGTCAATCCACACAAAAAAATGTTTTGGCTTTGTAATCTTTAATCAAAATCTGAAATTTCCCCTCCCCTCTGCATTGGAGGACCTTCCCTGTAGGTTTGACGGTTTGGGTGTCTGCTTAACATCCGTAACCACGACCCTTTTAAAAAAAAATTTTTTTTTTATTATTATTATTATTTAATGAACAAAAAGTACAGGGGATACAAGTATCAAGCACAAAAAGGTAAAATAAAAATAGCACAGTACACTCAAATCAAGCAAGGCAGTAGATAAGGGATAGTCTAACCACGACCCTCCAACGGACAGTAGACAGGCTGAATGAAAACACCTACTTTTCTAGATCCAATCAGGTGCTAGTTGGAAATAAAGCCACGCCCACTATTTTGCCTCATTTCCGTTTCTCCCGGAAATACGTCACAACACTGGAGAAAAGTCGTTCGCAACTTCCGGTTCACGGGGACTTTAAGAACTACAACAAACGGCTGGTATGGACTACAACAAGCTTTTTTCCGGGTTGGTGACATCACGAACCCTAAAGTTCAGTAGCCCCCCCACTGATTAGAGCACGACAAGTAGTAGTTGGTAAATGACGCGATTACATGGCTTTGAAGAGTGCAAAATGTTGTGCATTGTCAGGTTGTGGAAAAACACAGTAGCTGCATTGGATTTGCAGAGAACCTGAAATTAAAAAAAATATGCTTTGCCTTCTAGCCCATTGGATCCGACAGCAGCGGCGAATCACACTTCTGTATGTGAGTAAAAAAGCTATAATGTGTCACTATTGCTTTGTTACAGATCGTTTGATATGTACGGAGTATGTGTAACGTTACATGTCTAATCAATTCGTCAATTCATGAATTATTAATTTCTGAATAATTCATATAGGCCTACAATCAGATGTTTTTGTCTCAAAATCGTTTATTGCCAGTAAATCAAACCAGTGACTATACGGTCAACTTCACCTTGTTTCTCTTTAGGATGAAAATATTAAATTATATATAGAAAGCGATCAAAGAACGACCCCTTTACAATCGCTGGAACTGTCAATCAAACAGCGCGAGTGTTCTGGACTCTCGCCAAAACTCCCGTTAGAATCAAAAAATCTCTTTTTTACATTGTGTTTGCACAGTTAGTTATGATGGAAGCATTCGTTAGTGTGCAGAAATCGAGTTACAATGACGAGATCGCTGCATGCATGCATTCAAAAAGTTACAATGCTCATCCACTGCAACCTTTCATGCCACGATCTACATGATGCTAGATCTAAATATAATGCTATAATCAACACTTTTCACGAATAGTAAACCTCGAGAACTGTAATAGTAAAACCGTGCTAATAGTTTTCGAGAGAATTCCACATGTAAGCTAATACTTATTAGCTATTTCATATGCAATGATGTTAGCCAATCACAGCAGTGGGCGTTTACACTGAAGTCTCACAACAGACACGCCCCTTAAAACAGATTTCAAATCAGAGGGCTAAAATCAGGGTAGGAAAAATGCCTTTAATTTCTAAATTATGACAATTTTTGATGTAAAAATCATACTAACATTATAAGTGCACCCCAGATAACACTATAAAATAATGCAGTTCATGACCCCTTGAAAATAACTCAACAGCAGTTTGCTGATGATTCAAACATTTCTTTGAGGAAAAACGTATTCAATATAGAAATTTTAATGAATTTCCCAGCCATGTTAAAAAAAATTCCAGATTTTCATTGATTGTGGGACTGGGAACCCTGTCTGCAATATATTTCTGCAGTATTAATTAATACAATAGTCTATTAACTATTAATGGTATATTAATAAATTGTTGAATGCAATTAAAATTAGTTAATTAAACACATATCCAAGCACTGTTTCTTTCTGTCTCTCTCCCTCTTTCTCTTTTTTTTCAATGGATTCTTTTAGATTAGAGCAATCTTTCAAAATGTCAGTGTCTATTACTAAATGAGTCACATAAAATAGACATTTTGCGCCCAGAGGTGTGACAGAGTACAAATCTCAAGATACCATGTTTTAACAATTTCACATATTTTTTCCAGCTTTTCCACTAGCACTCACTATTGCATTAATTTAAAATCACATATGATCTGCCAGATGCAAAAACTATCAAATATATTCTTCAGAATGTAAACAGTATTCCATCTTCTTTGGCATGCCACTCATATCATCACTCCCACTACATATTCTTTCTTTTTCCCATCTTCAATTATTCTTCTCCACTTCCACCTCATCCCTCCATCCATCAGCTGTCCCCATCTACTGTGTCATGCTGCATGAACATCACAATGACAGCAGTTTCCTGTGGAGATCTGAGATGCAAATTATTGTGACTTTACCCTTCACTCTTCTTCTTGGTCCCTTTCTCTGTTGGTGTACCTGTAAAATTGATTCAGGTGGATAAAGATGTTTTCAATCCTTAAATGAATCTTGGGTTTTCTATGTCTTCTTCTAAATCTCTTATTGTTTCTTGGTCTCTCAGCACGCAGTGTGTCTCCGTCCAAGCATGGCTTCCCTCACACTCGTCACTTGAATGGCTCTGAGAATATTCTCTCTCTCTGCCTCCCCCATTTCCCCAACCTCCCCCCAGTATCTCTCTCTCTCTCTCTCTCTCTCTCTCTCTCTCTCTCTCTCTCTCTCTCTCTCTCTCTCTCTCTCTCTCTCTCTCTCTCTCTCTCTCTCTCTCTCTCTCTCTCTCTCTCTCTCTCTCTCTCTCTCTCTCTCTCTCTCTCTCACTCTCTCTCACTCTCTCTCTCACTCTCATATACATGTGCACAGCTGTGTCAGATGCCTATTGTTAGGGGGGGTAACAGTTTCAGACCCAGGACCAGAGATGATGAAAGAAGACCAGGAGTCGTGATGTTCAATCAAAGAGTAAAATTTACTGAAGAATAGTTTGCAGTTTAATTGGCAGAGTCAGCGTCAAAGTCTCACGAGGAGGTCGCAAGCTAATTCTACCTTACATGAAAATCGTACACCAGTTATACTGTTTTCAAGGGCATACATTACATAAACATTCACTTCTGATTGGCTCAGAAGACATAAAGCCTAAACAATTACACATAGATAGAAGGGTACGTTGACATCAATCAAGATAGCTGTCATCCAAGTCACGAAGATCCAGTAATGACCTCGGAGGGCCCATCGAAAAGCGTCATGAGACCAGCCACCCCGTGTCATGAGACCTGCAACATACTGATAAAACCTTCCATCCTCAGAGAGAAGAAATAACAATTACTTTACTTCTTGAGAGATATATGTATGAAAGAAGTAAAACAAATCATAGAATCATACAGAAATTGACCCCTGCCCATTAATAGGGTCAGCAGAGAAACATGATCATATGATGAGGGTTTTCTTTAAGTTTAACACACTCATTAGTATACATACGGACAAAAAGCCTGTATTTAATGTTCTTGCTCAGGGCCACAGAAGATTAGTCCCAGACATCATAAGACATTCATGAAAGATAGGCCTTCACCCAACATTCAGGAAAGAGGTGCATTCAACAGAAGTATGAATAAAAACTATATGTGAATCATTTATTGCGTATAGGAATGATTATATAACTTGATTAGTGCTTATTATAGTAATAATGTAATCATAAAAAAGGATATACATATAGTTAAATTGAAGAGGCAAGGGATTCTGACCCCAACCCTTCAGTCCCCCGTTTTAGACCGATGTGTGGTCCAATACCGCCACGTCTGGTCTATCAAGTGAGGCCACTACGGAGAGGGGGAGTGGTGACGCATGCTTCCCTGACGGGTCACACTTGTCTCTTCACCTCGTCACGGACATGCTGGATACTAAAAAGTCCAGTCCCCGTTAAGAGGCTCTCCCACCTTCCACTCACATCAGGGCTTCAATGTTGTTTTGATCCAATTTGTCCCTCAGGTGGGTCGTGAGCATCAGCAGTCTCTTTTCCTCCTCAGCAGGATTCAGATTTCTGCATGCAGTCCTGCACAGATAGGAGAAACAAAAACGAACACACAACCAAATACACAAACAGAGGAACATCACCCCCACAAGGGCTCCCACAGCATACAGCACGTAGTGCACAAATCCCATGACTAGATCTTCCGATGCTGTCACCAAATCATCCCAAGCTTCTTCCACATATTCTTCTACAGTTTCTGCCATATCTGTGAATATAGCACCAACCGAAAAAGCCAAAACAAAAGCCACCGCAATAGCAGATGGTGCTTCAGAGTCCGACATAAGAGAAGTTCCCTTGGACTTAAACCAGGCAGAATTCAAATACTCATAACCTGCAAATGGATCAGTCGTCTTTACCTGCTCAAGGAAAGCTGTAATGTATTTCTGCTGAGCTTCCTGGGCCTTTACCTGGGGAAAATATTCAGTTTCTTGCTTCAATTCAGTAACACAAAGGGAACCCTCCGCTCCATTACCATCTTGACTCTGATCCACTGGACGCCACGTGGGACCCAAGGGATGCGTCCACCTATGTCTAGCACAGTTCTTGGGAGAAATGTTATACTCGTCATGCAACTGGATCGGACCCAAAAACTGCCGAAATTGTTTTTCCCTATCAAACCACTCATCCCCTATGGCAACATCCTTTAACTGAGGCCACATCCTCACCTGGAATGGTTGATAATTATCCCACAATAACTCCTCATATTTCACTGGTACCAGACGAGTCTTTATTCTAGTATACATCAATTCAATCGTCAATTTAAGCACATGAAGGTGCATCCAGGCAGTCACATTATAAGCCATGGAGGTAGGGCTGTAACATTTCCCTTCTAAATAATCATGCAATTGATCCATTTTAAGAGCCGTTTTATTAGCAAAGCTCCTAACGAGCTCGTACTGATGCAACACGTCATACAAACTAGTCCAAGTGTATCCTGTCTTAACAAAAGAGGAATTACATACTTCCATAGGCACTTCCATCACCTTTACACCTGTGAGTTTTTCCGACATCGTTTTACATTTCTTAACATCACCTGGAGGAAAGGTTTTAACAAACCATTGTTGAATGTTTTCACCTAAACAACGTTCCACCTGTACTGTCTCCTTCCACGGATCATCAAACCTAGTATACTTGGGCCAAGAGAGAGAAAAAGCATTGACAAAAGGCAAACCATTTTTACTGCCATTAAGGTCGAAATTCTTTTTATCAGTCTTATCGATTCGTCCGAATCGATCACAAACAGCACCATAAGACCTGTCTACGTCCCATCGGACCATGTGAACCCTCGTGGGAACTAACACTTTCCATCTCATCGAATCCTTATCCTTCAGGATCTGTTGATACAAGTCTGAACCTGGTTCTTCTCTCACAACAATGTTGCTATGTATGTAACTTTGGACCACATCTTTGACAACCTGATTGGAACCTAATTCAGCTTTAGCTTTGGGCAGGTAATATGACATTATGTGTCGAGGGTCAGGTGCACTAGGATAAAGGGGAAGTTTCACTGGTTTCCCTCCTAAAATCATGTGGGAATCCCCTAATGCTACGGTCTGACGCTTCTTCCGCCCTGCTCTATTCTCATTCTTCATGGGTTTCAACAGATAACTATTAGCCATATTCATCCGTTTGGAGCAGGCAGTGTGGTTTTCATGGGCTATGCTGTCTGGAATCCAACTCATGGAGCTAAAATGCGGTTCATAAACATAAACACCTCCATCTCTCACCCAACGACCTTTTTGCATAATGAGGGTATTACCGGGATAATTTGGGGAGTGACCAAGCCAATAGGTCACTGACTCATTTCCGTCCAACCGATAGCATCTATCGTTTACCTTCTGATACATAGTCGAAATCAAATTTAGACCCTCAGTTGAATTTAGGCATGGGTATTGTACCCAGGATGGACGGTTGTCAGTTTCTTCACAATCCCAATTAGTCGCAAAAGCATGGAATCGACCGGTCCAAATGGAAATCTGTATCCACAGTAGAAATGACAAAGCGATTAGGATTAAACATACAAAAGAGAGCGGGAGTACTAATCTAACAAAAGCCCGTCTCATTTTCCGTCGCTTCTCATTACGCACTTCTTCTTGCAGAATTAGCAGCTTCAATAAGTCGTCTGGCTCAGCCATCTGTAAATGATAAAACAGTAATGCCAGAATTTAGAAAAATCACATACGACAGATATTGAAGAGGTACGATTTATCATGTTATTATGTGGTGGTATTCTGGTTGCAACACCTCTCAAGTGGTTTCACCTGTGACCAATGTCTCCATACTGTACCCAACACACCTCTGTCGAGTAAAACAGATGTATTAGTAGTCAACAGAACTTGGTAAGGTCCATCAAATTTCGGACCCAGAGGAGAGATTATCTCCCTTTGCAACATTACACTGTCACCTATCTCAGGCAACGCAGGCATGTCTTTTTGCTCAGTGTTATCTTTCTCTGCTTGTCGGATACTGACACTAACCCTGGTGTCTTTTAAACAGTTATCCAAAGCCTTCAGATAATTTTGCAGAGCATCTTTCAAAGGCCCTGACGGTCCCTCATGTTGCAGAGGAGCGTCCCAGGGCAGTCGCATGTAGCGACCTGTCATTATCTCAAAGGGACTGATCTGAGTAGTTTTGTTCGGGCTGGCTCTCATACTTAAAAGAATGGTTGGGATAGCAGAGTGCCATCCCTTCCCCCACTCCAACAATCTCTTTCTCAATGAAGTTTTAATCGTCCGATTAGAACGCTCGACAGAACCACTAGACTGAGGACGAAACGGTATGTGGAAGTGTTGTTTCACTCCCATCAATTTCATCACATTCTTCATTACCTTCCCCGTGAAGTGTGTGCCCTGATCTGAGTCAATGTGCAATGGTAAACCCCATCTGGGGAAAACTTCATTCAACAGAATTTTTGCAGTTGCGTCTGCGGTGCAGTTTTTCAGAGGAAACGCCTCCACCCATCTGGAAAACAAATCAACAATCATCAGAATGTATGAAAAGCCTCCACTAGGGGGCAGGGGACCTATGAAATCAATTTGAAGGTGGGTCCATGGCCCCTGAGGTCGAGGGGCATGTCCTAAAGGAATCTTTAGCTTTGCTGGGGAATTCACTTTAAGACATACTAAGCATCTTTTACAAAAGTCATTGCAAGAAGCTCTCAGCTTTGGCCACCACCAGGTTTTTGAAATCATTGCATGTAAATTCTCAGGACCAGCATGTGCCAAACCATGATACAGAGACATTAGTTCAGTTCGAGCAGAAACAGGACAAACAAAACGGTCATTGAATTTCCATAATCCTTCTGTATTTTTCTTTGCACCTAATTTTGTCCATTGCTCTATCTCTTCAGGGTCATCCTCTGAATAAAGTTCAAAAATGTCTCTAGAGGGTTCACTCTCCTGGGGAGCAAAAGCCAGCACACTCACGCATGTCTCAGTCAATTTTGCAGCCTCTCTGGCAGCAGTATCAGCCGCTTGATTCCCTTTGGCCTCTGGAGAACTGTCAGTGGAGTGTCCCGTGATTTTGATAACAGCTCCTGCTGCAGGGAGATCACATGCAGCCATCAATTCTTTTACCTGGTGCTGATGAGAGATGGGGAGACCAGCCGTGGTTAGAAATCCCCTGCGTCTCC